CACCAGTTTGACTGCAGCAAGTGGGTCATTACCTGTTTCGTCCAAAACTGCTTGCGTACTGATCTCAACCTTCTTTCGTGTGAGTGTCCACGCTCGTCCATTCAGAGAGTTCTTGAGCTTGATCGCATAGAGCTTTTTGACTTTCCCCTCGCTCGCGTGGTAGCCGAGTATTGCACGCTCCTCGAACTCTTCGCCGTAGGATGGGTCGCCGTTGTAGTGTACCACTCCCTCCTTGTCAACGAAGAGGGGGCCGTCATTGAACTGCTGCTGCTGCCTGGACGTCATCTTGATGACTGTGATGCTACTTAGCTTTTCTCCGATGTAGTAGCTGTCTTGATCGTTGCTGCCGTAGTTCTGCTGCTCGCCCGGGATGTTGTTGATGCAACGATCCTCGTCCAAGCTGTCGTAGGTAATGATTTTGAGCGTTTTGTCGATCACTGTGATCTGTTTAGCGCAGTGGTTAAGCACCGCGAGGATGTAAGTGAGCGCCAGCATATATGTCTGCACTGCCACTCTGTATGAAATCCTCGTACCGTGGACTGATTCAGCTCACGCTACCAGTGTAAATATTGTTCCAAATCTCTCCACCCACAACCTATTGATGCAATAAGAAACAGGCAGATGATAGGATATCTTATACCGAATCAAACTCAGCGTTCGGTAGGTGCGTCCACCCTCCCGCCTCAGCTGGCGGGTCCAAGCCACAAATGGCAATAGTGAACAAGAGAGTGCAAGCATGAGCGAGCGAGAGCAATAACATCGATAATTCTAAACATCGTCCTATAACTCACATCCTTGCTAATATAACTTTCACACATATCGGGCAGATTTTGGGTCCAACGTCATGTTTTCAACCTCGTTGCATCCGTAGCTAAAGCGACCGAAGACGGAAGACGACGAGACGACGACGACGACGACGACGACGACAACGACGACGACGACCGTCGGACCGACTCAGGACGACGACCGAAGAACGACGATTAACGACAACGACAAACCACGGCGACGGCAGACCAATATCGACAACGACGTCTGGGGGGGTTTGAGTCGGGGTTCGTTTGGGGCGCTCGGGAGGGTTCCGTTGGAAAACCATAGGTTTTTCCTGGGTTCGGAGCCCGAGGTGGTACATTCGCCTGCAACCGATACTCCTTTTTGTTTTACAGGGGGGGGGGGGGGGGGGGTGGGGGGGGGGGCGTTTCCAAGGGGGGGGGGCGGGCGAGGAGGGGCTCCCTTCTAGAATGCTACCGGGCCCGCTCGTTCTAGAATGGGTCCTCGACCAGTTGCTGTCGGCCTTCCAGACTTGTCTTTTTTTCGAGTTTTGCGACGGCGTCCGTCTCGTCGTCGTTGTCATTCGTCGGTCGTCGCCGTCGGTCGATGTCCGGCCATTCGGCCATCACATGAGTGGGCCGCTAGAGCGAGCCACGCTTCCACCACGGTATAAACCAATGCTAGTCTATTATAATCACTCGACGGACACACCTCGTCAAAAGTCTGACTAGCACATTCGTCCCCTGACTGTAGGGGGGCTGCTGGCCCGTTTTACGCGTTCGGAGGCCGTGCTGTGGGCCTCTCTGGGCCGTTTTGGGGCCCTCTTAGGAGCCTCTTGAGCGATCTTGGGGTCCTCTTGGGCCGACTCGGGGCCCTCGTGGGGGTTTCATAGGCTGTCTTGGAGCCATCTTGGAGGCACCTTGGGCCGCCTTGGGCGGTCAGAAACCCGAACAGGCGAGAACCAGTTGCAAATTGCAGAACTCAATGGTTTGGGCCTCCTCGGGCTCTCCTGGGTGGCCGATTGGGAGCCCTCTTGGGCCGTCTTGGGGTCTTCTTGGGCCGTCTTCAGATTTTCTTGGGAGTACCTTCCGCTGTCTTGTGCCATCTTGAGCTTTTTTGGTGTCGCCTTGGCTGTCTTGAAAACCCTCTTGGAGGCCATGTTGGCCTTCTGGAAGCTGAAAGGAGCGCTGGGAGCAATTTCAAGGGAGGCGGTCTCAGAAACACGCGCGCCGTGCAGGGGGTAGGTCCACCCTAGAAACATTATAAAACAACCTCCCAGACAACTGAGAAGCATTCTAACACGCCCGCTCCGTGCAGGCACGGTGGCGGATTACAGCTGTTTCGAAACCGTCGTGATATATTTTTAAAGCTGGACCCCGCCACAGTAGGACTCTAGAGCTGGATCGAGCCCTTAGGATGACGGAAAGAGCGAGGCCCGAGTAATGACGTTCTGGTGGGGCGAAGTTTTGTTGGGAAAGGTTTCCTGGGGGGGTGGGGGGGGCGAAGCGCGGACGTGCCAGCGTAACACGCCCGCGTGGCCCCAAGACGGCCCAAAGGTGCCCAAGACGGCCCAAGATACGCCCAAGAAGGCCCAAGAAAGGTCCTAGACGGCTCTAACACTGCCCACGAACATTCCAAGAGAGCCCAAGACCGCCCAGGAGCGTTCCAAGATGGCCTAAGATGGCTTCAAGTCTATCGAAGAGGGCCCCAAAATGGTCCCAGAGGCGCTGAAAAGAGCACCCGGGAGGGCCTGAAGAGGCAGACAATTGTAATTGTAGTGTTTTGTTGTTGTTTTTAGTGTTCTCGCCGTTTCGGGTTTCCGACGGCCCAGAACGGCCCACGAGACCCCAAATTAGGGAATCGAGCTCTGTACACCGACGCTTCTTCCGGCCCTGTATTGGAATTTGCACTGGAGAGCGGATCCTGGTGTATACGGGACCCTGGTGTATACATTTTTAGTTGTTTCCCCAGGACATCGGGGAAACAAGTATACACCACACCACCCAAGCGTCGTCCTCGACCCTCAAGAAGTCCTGGGATTGAAAAACTGCCCGCCACTGGTAATGTATATGTTCCAGTTTCTGACAAACATCGTCCCAAGGCAGCTCTAGAGGCCCCCAAGAGGGCCCACGGGCGCCCAAGAGGAGAAGCTTCAAGACTGTCAAAAACCGTCCAAGACGGCCCAAAAGGGCCCCTAGAACTGCCCATGAGGGCCCCACGGGGGTCCAACTGGGCCCAAAGAGGACCCCCAAGAAGGCGTGGAGACGCCAGGTAACAGAGGCCCCCAAGAGCTTACATTGACGCGACCAGTTCGTAACACCAGGGTTGCCAAGTGCGAGCGGTGACGTAAACAACTCTTAACACTACGGCTCCCAAGGGCGAGCGATGACGTAAAAAGCTCTGAACACCCAGGCCCCTAAGAGCCTATAGTGACGTGACAAGCTCTTTAACACCAAGCCTCCCAAGAGCGAACGGTGACGTTAAAAACTCTGGCCACTAAGGCGTCGTCCTCGTCGTCGTCGTCGTCGTCGTCTGCGTCGTCCGCGTCGTTTGCTGGCGGCGTCGTCGTCGTCGTCGTCGTCATCGCCGCCGTCGTCGTTGTCGTTTGCCTGCAGCGGTGGCTTTGGCCTGGGGGTGGGTGGGCGGGGGGGCCGTTCCGCCGAATCTTGTTCCCGGGACGGGGGGGTCCAGACCCTCTAGTTCTGGGGGGGAGTGGGGCATGGTGGGGGAGGGGGGGGCCCTTTGGTTTTGATCTCCCAAGAATATTTCTTTCGGAGGGGCAGGGGGCCCCTGGTTTTTGACCCCCCCCCATCGGAATGTTTCCAGTCAGCGACGGTGGATGACGCTCCCTCAAGGGTATTGATATTGAAAGGGCCTCGAGCATGTTTAAGAGGCGATTTGCGAGGGAATCTGCGCTTGCGGCCGCACCGATGTGGCAATAAGCTGCACCAGGGTTGCGCCGGCATGCCCTCCCTGCAAAAATCTGGTCAGATGCGAGCTCTGACAGCGCTCGTAATTCTGTGAGTGCAACGCTTCTTATCACCATCACATTCACGAGATAGTGGTCACAGTCCTTGTCTGACTCATGGTCAGCACCATCAGCATCAGGGCCATCACAGTTGCTTGGCGATATCCGAGTCTTAACAGAAACCATAACAACACCAGACAAGCTGCCCAACACGTAAATCAATCATAGACCCACCATACATGCAAATGGACCCAGTTACTGTCCCACATTTGTTCAACAACTAATTCATAGATACCCGAAGCAGACCTTCGCCGGAGCGGCGCGAAATTACGACATTGAGAACAATCGGGCGGATCACTTGTCTAGAAAACATAGCACCCCAGGACCCGCGCGAAATTTTGACATTCCTCGCAAGCGCTGCGAGAGACGTTGAAATTTTGGAACCTCTGGAATCTCGCGCTTGGCTCTAACCATAATCGCTCGAGCGTCACGTGGCTGCGCCACGCAGTATCGCGCATCAGTGGTCGCTCCATGTGGCGCGACTGCGGTATCGCATCCAGTAGTAGCCAGCAACAACCAAATTAAACGAGCGGGCAATGTATGCTACGTCTCGGGTCGGCAGTGGGAAGTGACGCATTCTCTACGTTCTCGCATTGGCCCGAGTCCGCAGTACCTCCATGATGACAGCGTGCGTTCCATGGCGGACGTGCGCATTTTGCGATGTACTGCACGAGTGCAGTCGTGAATCCCCAGAGCTCGCGCGAGCCTTGCGCGAGATCCTCCAGACCCTCGCAACACATCCTGCGAGAGCTTTGAGCACCCGTAGAGTCGGAGAGACGGAGGGAGTGAGAGGGGGTGCTGGAGGCTGGGATGGGGGGGGTCAAAAGAGTCCTGCCACTGGGAAGGACATTGTGCGTAGTCGGCGCATGCAGTGCTCGTCTCCATCGTTGGTGTATCCAGTGAGGGAGGCGAGGGAGTCCAGGCCGGCCTCTCCTTGGGGGCGGGGGGGGGGCAGGCGGTTTGGTCGGGAAGCACCGCGGCGACGATGCCGAGGCGGGCGAGGCGGGCGAGGCGGTGGGCGGGTCCGGCCCCCGCACGAGGGGTCGGCCCCCGGGCGGGCGGGCGGGGGGGGGGGAAGCAGCGCCCCTCCCGCGCGGCGGCGCAGATGGCCTCCGCCGCCCGAGCGCCAGCCCAGCCGAGCGCCGCGGAGAGGGCGGCGAGAGCGAGGCAGCGGGGCGGGGCACTGCCGCGGCGGCGAGAGCGGGCGAGCTCCCCCGCCCCGGCGCGCGCGCGCGCTGCGCCGCGCGGCGGGCGGCCCCGCCCGGGTTGCAGCCGCCATGACTGGCGGGAAGCGGCCTCGCGGGCGGGCCGCGGGCAGGGCGTGCCGGTCGGCGGCGGCTTGGCAGCGGTGCCTGGCAGCGGCTCGGCAGCGGTGCTTGGCTGCAGCGGCGGCAGCGGCGCATTGCGGCAGCAGCGCGTTGCGAGTGTTGCGGCGCTGGCGCCCTCTCCGCCGCTCCGGTTCCGGCTCAGGCTCTTCTCTTTTGCATTGTCGTCATGAGGAGGAGTAGGAGGAGGAGGAAGCAGAAGAAATTGAGCAGGAGGAGCAGGAGGAGGAGGAGGAGGAGGGGGAGGAGGTGGAGAAGGAAACATATTGTTGGGAGGACGCCGACGCGAACGATGAGGAGTAGGAGCACGACGGCGATCAGCTCTTACCATCCGCATGAGGTCTTCAAGAGAGTGGTCGAGGACAGCATGTGCCTCCAGAGTCCCTCCCGATGGGAGCCAGGGTAGGGAAGCGTTGACGACAGTCTGGCCCGTGGTGGCTGCAGGGAGCTTGAACGAAGGCCCACGCAGTCCTCCTCCCCTGAGAGGAGGCCTTGCGCAAGCCGCTCCAGGGCTTTCGCGCCATGCGCCGTGGGGTGCCTACACACTGAACGTCTTCAGCTGCTTCAAGCAGTTGGGGAATCGGGGCGGTCCGGGCCCCGCTGGCACCTCCCCTTTTGTCTCCCCCCCTTCCTCCCATCATGCGTGGGTGACCAGAGTGGGCTCGAAGGGGATTCCACATCCCACCAGCACGCCAGACTACCTTGGCTACTGACGGCGGCATCTTCTTGGGAGGTGGCGAAGCCCATTTCGGTTGGGCGCCAGCGAATAAAAGGAAGAGGGATGGGGAACGCTGATCTGTGGTTACTGATTGCGCGGAATGTCCACCGTCAGCCTGCAAGTGGAACTCGGGGAAACTCTGATGCTCTAACCCAGGTGGTTCTGGACTCTCTGGCGGCAGCGGGAAGAGCCAGTTCGAGAAATCGCCGAGCGCGTTCCACTACTCTGCAAATTGCCTACTCGCAAACGTCCCCAAAAACACCTGTCTGCTTTGACGTAACTTATCGTGGATCCCCCGGCGGGGGATCCAGGCCATTTGCGAGCAGTTATTTGGCGAGTAGTGAAACGCGCTCGTCGAAGAAAGGACCACGAGCAGCACGCAAGCGTGCGGGAGGGGATGGCGGAGCAGCCCACGCTGCAGCAGGAGCTGGGTGGGGGCAGCGGGCCGGCAGGCGGCGGAAGCGCGGGGGTCCTGCGGCAGGGAGTGGAGCAGCGGCTCGCTCAAGGGCTCGCCCACGACGTGCATGCGGGCGTGGCAGCGCGAGGTGCGCGGCCCTGCGCCAGAGCGCGCTGCCAGAGGCGGCGCGCAGAGGGCAGTGAGCGCCGGCGGCCTCTGGAGCAGCTGGCGCCTGCTGGAGTCCCCACTCCCAGCGTCGGGCGAGGAGGGATCACAGAGGGGGGGGGCGGAGGATGGGGACGGAGGAGGAAGAGGAGAATCATCGAGGGAGGAAGTAGCACCCTGGCCTCCATACAAGGCGCTTGCTGAACAGTCCCGAGCATTTACCAAGCAGTCGGTCCATGCTCGATTCCTTCTGTAGCTGCGCTAATTGGTTCCGCTGGTAGGGGTGCTCATTCTGAGGATATTGCTTCTGCCTCTCTTAGAGAAGGAGGAGGACGGAGGAGGACGGATGGGGAGGAGGGGTAGGGGGAGGAGGCGTGCACCACAGAGGAGAAATGCCGCGCAGCGTCGCGCCTGCTCTCTCCAAGAGGCCTGCACCAGACTTGGCAGGATGCTCCGCAGGGTCTGCGCGGCGCTGAGTGGCGGAACGAAGTGCGGAGCCCGACCAATGCTTGCTTGCCCCGCTGCGGCGGAGGAGGACCTCGAGGTTGAGGACGGGGGTACCTTGTAAAAACATTGCGTCACAGTGCAGCGTTCAGTGATTTTCCATCCAAGGGTCCAGTGCAGCGTCCATCCAAACTTTCCAAGGATTTTGAATCGCGGCGGAATCGGAGTCAGATTTGCCAGCCGATGGCATGGGTCAGAGAGTCATATTGAGTTGGAGAGGAATGTGTGATTGATTTTCCAGTGTCAGAATGGATTGTGAATCGCGGCGAAATTGGATTCAGATTCGCCCGAGGTCTGCCAGGGCAGAAGAAGGAATACTAAGTTGGAGAGGAATGTGTAATTGAATTTCCAGAGTTAAAAAGGATTCAGACTCGCGGCGAAAATAGAATCAGACTCGCCCGAGGATTGCCAGGGCTGGGAAGAAATATTATGTTGGAGGGGACTGTGTAAAATTCACTTTCAAATTCAAATTCTCATCCAACACACTAAGTATCGGTGGCCCTGGCAATCCTCTGGCAATTGTCATTCTAATGTATCTATGAGTCAGAATCCCTTCTTATTCTGGATATTAAATTGCAGATGTCCCTCCAATTCAAGATTTCTCTCTTGGCCCGGGCATCCTTGGCACATCTGAGTCCAATCCCGCCGCGATTCGGAATCCCTTCTCACTCCGGTAATACAGATGCAAATTCCTGTCCAATTCAATCGTTCTTGCTGGCCCTGGTAATCCTCTGGCAATTCTGAGTCCACTTCCGCCGCGAGCCCGAACCCTTTCTAATCATGGAAATTGGATTGCAAATTCATCTTCAGCTTCATATTTTTCTGGCCCCGGCATCGTCTTGGCAAATATGGGTCCAATCCCGCCGCGATTCGGAATCCTTGCTAACTCTGGAAATTTCATTGCATTTTCTTCTCCAACTCAATAGTTCTCGCGGGCCCTGGCAATCCTCTGGCAATTCTAGATGCTTCGTGTAACCCCACCAGCCCATCCAGAAACGATGCCCAGAGGAATTGCCTCGATCAGGGAAGTGGGCAGCACACAGAAGAAGGGTCCCCCAGTGGAGGCCTCTTGGAGCGCCTTGGGGGCCTCGTGGCGGTCCCGAGCGCCTCTTAGAGCGTGTTGGGTGCCTCGGATAGCCTCTTGGGGCCTCTTGGGAGTCTCTTGGGAGCCTCTTGGAGGCCTCTTGGGCGCCTATTGGGGCCTCCTGGGTCCTACTGGGCGCCTCTCGGGGCCCTTTTGAAGCGCTCTTGGGAGCCTTGGGAGCGCTCTTGGGGCCATCTTGGAGGACATCGATCAAACAAGAGGGGGGGCATCAATTAGTGTTGCCCCTCGGGAGCCCAAAAAGTCGCCTCTTGGCGCGCTCCAGGGGCGCTCTCGCAGCGCATTTTGGGCGCTCTTGGGGCCGTCTTGGGGCTCTCTTGAGCCTCTCTTGGACCCCTCTTGGGCCATCCTGGAGCCATCTAGAGGACTCGGATGGCCATTGGAAGCGAATTGGCGAGAAAGCCAAAAACATTGATTGTCCTATGGTTTTGGACGGATTTTGGCTTCTTCTGGGCCTCATGGGGGAGCTCTTTGGCCACTTGGAGCGGTCTTGGGGCCTCTTGGAGCATCGTTGGAGCCATCTTGAGGCATCTTGGGATATCTTGAGCCATCTTGGAGGTCATCTTGGGCTCTCCCAGGCGGCCTTGGAGTCATCTTAATCAGTGCCCCCCCAGGAGGCCAACAAGTGGCCAAAACCTCAGTAAACATCAATGATGTGGGCATTCTCGCCGAGGCCTCTTAGAGAGTCTTGGGTGCCACTGGGGGGCCTCTTGGGACCTCTTGGGAGTCTCTTGGGGGCCTCTTGGGGGCATCCTGGGGGCCTCTTGGGGGGCCTCTTGGGGCCTCTTGGCCACCTCTTGTGGCCCTCTCTAGGCACACTTGGGAGCCTTGGGAGCGCTCTTGGGGCCATCTTGGAGGAGATCGATCAACGAGAGGGGGGTCCCTAATTTGCGGGCCCCCCCCCCCCCCCTCTTGGGGCCGTCTTGGGGCTCTCTTGAGCCTCTCTTGGACCCCTCTTGGGCCATCCTGGAGCCATCTAGAGGACTCGGATGGCCATTGGAAGCGAATTGGCGAGAAAGCCAAAAACATTGATTGTCCTATGGTTTTGGACGGATTTTGGCTTCTTCTGGGCCTCATGGGGGAGCTCTTTGGCCACTTGGAGCGGTCTTGGGGCCTCTTGGAGCATCGTTGGAGCCATCTTGAGGCATCTTGGGATATCTTGAGCCATCTTGGAGGTCATCTTGGGCTCTCCCAGGCGGCCTTGGAGTCATCTTAATCAGTGCCCCCCCAGGAGGCCAACAAGTGGCCAAAACCTCAGTAAACATCAATGATGTGGGCATTCTCGCCGAGGCCTCTTAGAGAGTCTTGGGTGCCACTGGGGGGCCTCTTGGGACCTCTTGGGAGTCTCTTGGGGGCCTCTTGGGGGCATCCTGGGGGCCTCTTGGGGGGCCTCTTGGGGCCTCTTGGCCACCTCTTGTGGCCCTCTCTAGGCACACTTGGGAGCCTTGGGAGCGCTCTTGGGGCCATCTTGGAGGAGATCGATCAACGTGTGGGGGGTCCCTAATTTGCCCCCCCCCCCCCCCCGGAGGCCAAAATGGTGCCAAAACCTTAGTATAATCAATGGTTATGGCATCCTCGCCGAGGCCGTTTTGGACGCTCCAAATACCCGCGGAACCCCCCGTCCAGGTCCAGGGAAGGGGGTAGGGGGAGGGGTTAACCCCTCCCCGAAGGGGAAGTGGGAGGAGTGGAAGAGGAAGCTCCCTAAACCCCCGTACGCCCTAAAGGGCTGGTGGGATTCTGCTTCAAATTTATCGACGAGTCAGAATCTTTCCTACCTCTGGACATTGAATTGCAATTTCCTTATCCATGCAGTATTTCCGTTTGGCCCGGGCATCCTCTGGCACATCAGATTCCAATCCCGCCGCGATTCGGAATCTTTTCTAACTCTGGCAATTCAAATGCACATCCCTCTCCAACTCAATAGTCCTCGCTGGCCCTGGCAATCATCTGGCAGTCCTCTGGTAATCGTGAGTCCAATTCCGCCGCGATTCCGAATCCTCTCTAATCCGGGAAATTGAATTGCAAATGCTTCTCCAGCTCAAGTTTCCTCTCTGGCCTCGGCATCCTCTGGCAAAGCTGAGTCCAGTCCCGC